TTTTCTCCATTTAACTTGTTCCTGTTGATTGATTACCACAGAAGAATGCAACTCAGATGTCGCTAATTGCTGTAACTCACTCGATCGCTTCAACATAGTTACTAAATGATTGTTTAGTCACAAATTTTCCGAGCTCTTTTGTTTCTGGAAAATGCTACTCATAATCGATTTCCAGTCAACCCTAGTAGATCTTAATGATCGGTGCCTGGACTACTTTTTTCTCTTGAGGCACTCTCAGATGGAAATTATGCAGCCGCACTCTTATAAGGTCATTAATCCTTACTTAATTCTTTTATTTTTTAGCTCGCCCTATCATAAGCCGTTTACCGGATCCTTCGGCATTACTCACACACCCTCGTCGGATGCCTCCCGTGGATGAGGTGATCAAAACAGTGGCAAAGCGCAAGGGGATCACGTTATCTGAACAAGATTTGACGACTATTGTTCTTGGGGTAGCCAATGGCTCGGCCCCACCTACAGGGAGTAAACGGACACGCTCGACTGCAGCTGCAGGAGTGGCGTGTGATAATAGTGTTACTTCAATTGATTTGTTGAATGGAACAACGGAGCCAGGCGCAGTTAGTAACGCATCCTCTCCCGCTTCCTCCATCACTCATAGTGGTGTTGGGCCTGAAGGGGATTCTTCCTCCCCTCCACCTCGCAAGAAGCAGCTGATCAGTGGAGCTGCGGTTCCCTCCACACGATCCGAATCCAGTAACGGTTTGCTAATCGTGACAGATGACGAGCAATCAGAGGGGCTTGTGCAGACAGGACGAGAGGCGGCTACAACAACCAGCTAAAAGTATGTTCGATCGGTTTTGATCTGCATTGTATCTTATACTGATCAGTAGAAAGAGTATTATTTTAGACAACGCTCACAAGAAAAAATACCATAACTTTATTTATCATTTCACAATGGAAAGTCTTCTCATATCTTTGGGATTGTCTCAATAGACTGTGTAACGACTTAGGTTACTCATGATAGACTTCCTTCAGAGAATTCCTGACACTTCCCGGTAAATTTTGACCGAAAGTTTGTGCTGTTGTTCGTCGCCACTGATCTAAAAGTGGTTGTCGGTTGGCGATACCGTTATGGTTGACTCTCCTGATTTAAAATGTCAGACTCAACCGATATAAAAACACTGTGATCATTTGTGTTGTTTGTGGATGGTTCTTTTTATTATTTTTATTATACACATTTGTATGATGATCAGCAAACTGAGTAGTAGTCGCCAAGACCTGCTGTTCTTAGACGGAAACCGGCAATTTAAGCCCCGGAACTTGTATTAGTGAACCCCATAAGGCTCCGATACGTCGGGCGTGGTACTGAACCGAATAACAGGAAAATTTCCCACTACCAGAGTTCGGTGGCTGTGTTCAATTCTCAAACCACAGCATGCCGAGTGCAGCGACTCAACCACTGCACCACCACCTCTGCTTGAGTTGATGAGCCTAAACAGCCTCCACTGGATGTCATGTTATACCTCTTTAGGCCATGGAGACGTACTAATCAGTGTTGTCAGATTGAACTTTCCTCAGTTTCAATTTAACATTGCACACACATAACTAGCTTCATACTCCAAATGTCAGTTACTCGTGAAATTTATTCGTGATTAAGGAAGTCACACTTTTGTCGAAATGGTCTATGTTGGTAGCATTATGAATTCCAATCATCCACTTTAACTGTTCACCAAAGAAGTATATATGTTGCGGTGAATTTGTTATGGAATGTGTCTCAGTAGGTTCGATGCATTGTGTCTTTCTCATCATTTTCGTATCCATTTACACCTTTTTATTTTTTCTTGTTTTTTCCTCATTCTCTTTCAGTGGTTTAAGCATCGTTCTGAATCGAAGTCCTTATCGCAAACTGACCTGTCACATTGTTCCTCCACCCACTCTCATCGCCTTCGCATCGTGTTTCGATGAATCGGTTACGAAATGAGTTCCGAAATTTTGTTGATGTATGGCGACAGATAAAGCAAACCGATAGAGGGCGCTGACGAGGAGAGAATAGCGAGGAAGTCACATGTGCTTTCTTTTGTTCGTCTCCCCGGATTCCTCGTTGTCATCCCACCCCCAATCCTTTTTCATCCACATCACTTCGGCCCATCAGTACGCATACGGCAATTCTTCTATACACCTCAACACTGCTCGTTCATCGTGTCTTCGTGACTCTGTACTAGTACAATGTTATCAGTAAGGACGAATACAACCAGTACTATCAACTCTATTACTATTACAACAACTAATACCACTGTTACTGCTACTATTTTTTCACTGCCAGCCTCTTTTGCACCTCAGCTAAACTCGATCCCGCTCTCAAAAATCTCTTTTTTATTTGAGCTGTGTCGTATTTGTTCGTTTGTCACATCATTTCTGTCTCTCTTTCTTTTCTTCGGATCGGTCTATACTGTGCGAATGTATGAATTTGGAAGTCGTGATGAATTGTTCACTATGGTAGTTGTTTTTCACGTTCATTGGGGATATTTCTTTTGAAACCCCCTCATCATCGGACTTATCCCCAACAATCACTTGATCAAGTTGGTATATCCGCTCGACGGGCCTCTTCTATGTCTGAATGCGTTTTGTGTTTTTGTCTTCGGCTGCCTATTCATCTATATATCGTGTGTGCATACACACGAAAGTGCATGGTGTATACAACAAATGACAGCCGCGCGTGTTCTCATTCACGGAGAAAGATGATACGTTACCACAAACTGAGATCAATCCATGACTTACATGCTGTGTTCCCGTCGTTTCTCAACGTAGCGTGTGCCGTGTGTTGTATGCAACACTCATTGCTATCTGGTCCAACGGCGATAAGAAAACTCACCTCGGCATGTCTTCTGTTATTCGCTCGATAAACCGCAATTCGTGCCTAGTGTTGCTATTTTAGTTAAGATCTGTAGTTGTGACAATGCACGTCAATCGGATAAGTCGTTTTACAGTCAGTTAAAGGAATTCATGGTCCTTTTTTCTCCGTCCAAAAACCACATAATCGCGATACCGACCCAAATCCAATCAGCTGCCACTGATGTGAACACATGTCCATGATTTTTGCTCACACTTCCGTCTGTCATTTACTCGTCGATGGAGCCATTTGTCTGTCTATCTGTGCACTTCTAACCTGTTTTGACCGCAACACTGTTCTACGGATCTTGTTATAGTGGTTTTTAAATTTATCTACTGGGATATACATCTGCATTTGGTTAAAACTGTTACGATTTCGACGCTCGCTTTTCCGCATGCCGATGTTTTCTTCCCGTTCATTTTGCACACTTCATGCCGATTTTTACCACTGAGAGCAGTAGCACTTGAAAGAATGGCTTTGGGTCGAACACCAACTAATCGATATTTCGTTTACTACCCCTTCACTAGTTCTCTTGTATCCTGCTCTTCTGCCCTCCTTTACTTCCCGTTCTCTATCTGACCTCATACGATGTTTTTGTCCCAATGCCTGTGGGTTACTGCGCGCACTAGCATCACTTTCCATCTTTTTCAATTCCAGTATGTGCGTGCGTGTGTCTCGGGGAAACCGCGAGAGAGAGAGGGAGTGGGTAAAGGAGCAATCACATGCTTGTTATGTGCACTTGCGTGTATAATCTCGACCAAGACTCTTCCGGGCGCTTGCCTTCTTCACATTGTCGCTCTCTGTGTTCGTTATTCCCTTTATCCTGTTCACTTTCTTTGTACGTAAGCCCTTGTCATTTCCCGCCAAGTTCATTGATAGCTTGCCTACCATTCACATCTAATCCCACATCCTTACGCATCTCCTGGTCACCCACATGCCTGTGTGTACGTAATATTCATCGCCCTACTTCCCTACCTACACACATGCACTGGTGTGCTCGTGCGTCAGCCTTGTTTTTTTCCAGTACAAGTTTGTTTTCATGCTTATTCTTCTTCAGTTCGTCTCTTATGATAGTTGCTTAATCGTTTATCTTGTTAAGTAGCACGTGCACGTAGTATTCTTTTAGATTGGCACGCAAAATTGCGTGCACAAATAGTTATTTCAAGGCTCCTAGCATCATAATAAAGAACACAAAACTAGATCTTCAAGTTTAGTTGGTGAATGTTTGGATTAGCCCATTCGGTTTTTCACAGGCACCAGTATTTACAGGTTTATCCCGGGCCCTCGTTAAGGTTTTCAATAAAAGAAATGAGAACAGATATGCCTGGCTGGAATGCTAAGCTTCTCTCAAAAGCCCACATCATTAGTCGGTCAAAGGGTTTTTCTTCAAAAACGTCAACCATTCCATGCACTGCCTCGGTACGCGTTTTATGTTCCCTGTTTATTCTTTAGACAACTGTTTGATGGAGACACGGGGTTCACTGAGAAGTAACTCTGACACGGTCGAGGGGAAACCAAATATTTGGCACTCAGTTATACTGCATTAGAAATAATGGTGTTTGTATTTCCGTGCTATTATATGTCTACAGTTAGAACAGCGAGTAGGTAGTTACTGCGAGATGTTAACACTCCCTTTAATCTCAGCAGTCGCTACAACGTAAAGCAATCTGGTGTTCATACCAGAAGGTTTTGTCCATCGAAACACTGTAGTTTGCCAAGCTTTCTTGTGTGAATACCAGATTGTTTTGCGTTATAGCAACCGATGAGAAATGCTAACATCTCGCAGTATTTGTTCTAACGAATTGGACGAAGGCGACCGGATGTTTCATTTCTGCAACCTAATTCTTGATCTAACCGAGCTCTTCATGCGAGTAATCACGCCATCATTTGAACACTCGAGGCGCCTCGTACCATTTCCTCAGATTGATTACAAATCAGTTGATCGATACGCTGGTGTTAGTCATTCGAACCTAGCTGCAAGCGGTGCTTATTTCTCCGCGCATAGTGTAATCTGTTTGCTCGGAGACCTATGCCTGTCGTTCATCATCATCATCGTACAGCAAAATAAAGTGAGGCGAACTTCACTGATCGCTGCCAAACTCGTGATGCATACTAAGTTAATGGTAATGTGTAAGGTGGACAGGGACTTGATCTATTTTGAGGGAGAAGGTGAATTTCTATGGTCAACACAGAGTACGCAATCGAACTCTGTATTCATACAGTTTCATGCATTCTGGCCTGATAAGAAATGATAACGAGGGCGCCGCTGCTGTCGGTTCGCTGGCATATCCTTCAGTGTCTCCAACCAACTAGTTAGGGAGTCTTTCGAACCAGGCACTCACTCTACCTAATGGCTCTACGTTTCTTCATGCTTCGTCTCCATGTCATCTGTTGACCTCTGCGTGGTTTCCTCCAGCCCGGAGCAGCTACAGCGAATAAAGCGCGGTGCGGCAGACGACAGCTGGGTATACGCAATAAGTGCCCCAGCCAGCTAAGTCTACTAATCTGAATTCGGTGTGCCAACAGGTTTGTCCCTGATAGACTCCCAAACACAACGGCTTACCTCGTGATTACAATGCAAAGTAATCTTTGAGGGCGATGCACGTTGACCACGAGAAATACTTGAAGCGATTATGAGAATTTTCTAAACCTTCTGACTGGTTGTCTCCATAGCTTCATCCACTATGGACTCGGTTTTTTTTACCTTATGATGCATCCTTTAGACGGGCTTTGTCTTCGCCCGAAGTCGACATCTTGGCACTTACTGTTAGTCGGCTAGCTTTATCGGTTAAACAGATTTGCAGAAGGCAGTTGGAAATAAACAGGTTGGAGTGCTTCAGGTTAACCTCAATCGACCTAGCAGTTCTCAAGGCACCGGTATATCACGAGCTTGACTATCTATAAAAACGAGGTAGGCGAATCGGGTAGTGTATTGAGGGACTAATTGTA